ACAGTTTCGGTTCAAAGGGGATTGGTTCAACTGTCTTTTTATTGTGATAATGTTATAGTTCTTTAAATTTTTTCAAATCTGCACAGATTTGGATGATTGGACATAAAGTTTTATGGGCGTAGAAGGATCGCTTGAGGTGATAATGCAGCTGTTGGCGGGGAATGGTTAAAACTGAGCAGAAGATTATTTGGAGGTGCAGAATAGAGAAGTAGCGGAAAAAGTTTTAATGCAATGGATTTTGTCGTGCGACTGATATAAATTGCGATTTTAGAAATTCATTTAGGATATTCTATGTTTCTCATGACTCCCAGGACCTGCAAATTTTTTCGTATATCGCTCGTGATGGCGCTTCAAACACGTTCAAGTGCAATGTGTTCAAATGCTCCAAAAAGGTTAGCTATTCAAATTAGAGAATAGTTTATGTTATATCTTCTTTATTTGTTTTATTGTGATGCTTTGTGATATAAAATGTCTTCTAATAGCTCGAAATTTTATCTATTAACCAATGTTTTGATAATCGTAACGAGCAGTCTAGACGGGAAGTGTAAGATATTTTTAAGATACATATCACGAGTAATTACGAGTGGCAATCTACCCACAGTTCTGAATAAGTTTTCTCAAATGTACAGCTATTTCTATGAGAAGAAGTTTCTGCAGAAGTTATCTTATTGTCAGAATCTTTAATAGTTTACAATAGCACGCTGATGGAACAGAAATTGATATAGCAAAAGCAGTCATGAATTATTTATCGTTGTTTAGAAGTACTAATTTAGAAGTAAAAGTTCAAATGCTGAAAATTCTAGATTGAAGGTTTGTAGTAGTAGATGCAGCAGTTGAGTGAAAATTTTGTTTCCAATATTAAAATGGTGTAATTAGTAGATGAGTTAATAAAGATGATTAGTTGTGTCACATTAAAATGCCTGATAAAAGGAGCTTAAAGGAGCTGTTTCAGTATTTCTATTTATTGAATAAATTAAAGTAAAGATTTTCCGGATGAATTCCTTGTTTTGTCAAAAAATCGATACATTTAGATGGAGGTTTCAGGTGATTTTTTTGTATCCAGAAAACTTTTATTTTTAGATTTAAGCACCTGTAAAACTCGTATTCATTTTGAATGAACACTATCTTTTTACATATTGACGTCACCGTAGTTCATTTGAAGCTGCACATTTTGCTGAGAAATGATGTATCATTGAAAGCACATCTTAGAGCGCAGTTAACTAAAGTCTTTGGGGAAAAGAGAACGCGTACAACTTTGATATATGCTCTCACCTTTGACAACAGAATCACGGCTTTTTAAAATATTTTCTTTTTTTTTTCTTTTGTTTTTTTTTTTTTTTTTTACATTTTACAATATTCCATCTAAGCTACTTACTTACCTTGATCAATCAAAAGAAAAAAATCTTGTACTTTTATTGAAAGTACTTTATCTGTTCAGATTTTTTAATTTATTGCTCTACCGTATCGAAAGCAAAAGTTAAAACCTTTTTGTTTAAATGACTGATAAGTCTTCGTTAACGCGTTTCTGTAAGACGGCGTTTATTGCTGTTAACCTCTCATTCGTTCATATTTTCATTCAGTATAGTTCTCGATTCGTTCGTTTTTGCGTCACAGATATTTTTACTTCATTTCTTTTCGTCCTTAGCATTCATCATAGGCAGGCGCCATGTCCACTGCTTTAGTCTCAAAAACAAAAAGTTCAAAAAGAATGCAGGAACACAGTTATACAAATGCTTCTAAGCGATTACGTCCAGAATAGAACGCAGGAAAGCTGTTGACTTAATCTGAATTATTTTTAACATTTCTGTCGTTATTGTTGTTATTCTTGCCAGTAGTGTTTTCTGCCGGTCGTTACTGTCGTTGACTACTTTTTTTAGATTTGAATCCTCATATGGCGCTCTTCAAGAACTGAATAATTGCAAACATAATTAAACTTTTATACTAATGGTATTGATGGTAAGCTGTAGTTATCGTTGGCTTTTTTGAAGCAAAGATTTTTCTAATGTTCAGTAACGGCAACTGTGCAACATCTTTTGCGTGGTCAGTTTTTCATCGTTGTTCACTAGATGCGTTTTGAAAATTTTCTGCTGTACTAAATTGACATAAGAGTATCATTTTCAATTTCTTTCTAGTCAACGGGTCAGCTGTGCTTAAGAATTAAGCAAGACTGTTCTCAAGCAAGCAGAAAAATTTTCATTGGCTTCCATCAAACTTTAAGAAAAACTTCACAAAAACATAATAAAGCACAATCTTTATAGGTGGAAGAAAAAAATAAAAGGAGAAGGAAAAAAGGAAAGGAAGGTTTTTGTTTAAGGATAATTAGAAGCACTTTTTTGTGGGTAAAATTTTGTGTCTAATGCAGTGAGTTTTAATCTAATTATTAGTTTTAAGCACTTTCTTTTTCCTTCTCGGTTCTCTTCGACCATTTATTATTGTAAAAAAGTATATAAATATGTATCCTCATTACTTTTCTGCTGCTGTTTACTGTTCATTTATTTATTTTTTTAAATATGTTCACTGTCTTTCTTCTCATCTTTTTTTTTTTTTTTTTTTTTGCAGTAACAAAAACTGTCATATTCACTTGGCGTTGATTTATTATTTGTACCTTGAACTTTTTGAACGTATTTTGCAACAAATACTATTTTGTTGTGCTTGATTAGGAAGGAGGGTTCAGTTCGCTTTTCTTCAGTTTACTGCGGCTGAAATTAAAGAAAAAAACTACTACTACTGCTGCTGCTGCTGCTGTTACTGTTGCTGCAGCTGCTGCCGCTGTAGCTGTTACCACTACCGCTGACGCCATCGCATATCCTGTTACTGTGTTCGTTGGCTGCTTTTGTGCTGCAGTACTATTGACTTTTTCAAGTTTTCCTCTTAAGATCTGTAGGATTTAAGTTTCACATCAAATTCGACTATTATGGCCAACTTGCTTGACATCGGTACTGTAGTCAGGAAAAAATACAATTAACTAATTGTGCTTATACTAATTTCTCCTGTCTTTATGATTTCATTTATTGAGAATCAATTAATTTCACGATCAATTCCTCCGCTACTTCTCACTTATTTATTTTCTTCTATCTACTTCTTTCTTCGTTCTTTTTGAGGCAAAAACTAAATAATTTTTTTGTTGAATTTTTTCTCCCTCTTCTCTTGTGAAGAACGTGTGCCCGCATTCCCTTTGCTTTTAGAAATCTCTTTTGTATTAATTTTTATCATTTATATCGAGAAGCAGCACAACGTCAACTAAACCGGAAATACTCAAAGCTTTTTTATACGTTGGTTGTTTTACTTCTTACCATCTGCTTTTTCAAGCGGGGTAGCATTAAAAAGTCAAAATGAGCAATTTCTTTTCGTTAACTCTTTTACTTTCTTATACTATTTTACAACGACAACAAAAACTTTCTCAAATTCATGTTACTGAAAAAGTATCTTCAACATCCATCGTTGCTTAATATGTTATTGTTCGCCTGCCTTCTTCTTTTTGTCCGAGGTGCTCACGAGCATTGCAAATTCATACTGTCACTGAAAACTTAGGTGTGTACAGACTAGATTAGCACCTAGCCTTCTTTTTTTGGTCGGAATTGTTGCTATTGTCGGTCAGTTGTTGTCGGTTTATTGTTTTCTTTTGGATGAGAAATTCCTTGTTTTTCAACCTATTAAAATAGATAAATTAATTTTGTTCTGTGAAGATGCTAGCAATTTTTTTACTTTTTTCTTTTCTTTCCTTCATCGATCTATCTATAGAACACTATTTTACTTCAAACAGATTTGTTCACTTTTTTTATTGCTGTCGAAAGCCGATGAAATGAGTTTAAGCGTAATAATTAATGGATTGAGATGAATTTGATTGATCCAAAGCAACACCTTTCTTTTTGATAATTTGTTTTAATCACCTTCAGAAGAACATACACTTTTCAACTGTGGTTCAAACTTGTGAGGTTTTAATGGTGTTATCAATAAAAGTGTATTTCTTTTCATTTCTTCTAATTTTCTTTTTATTCTTTTTTCTTCCGAAAATGTTTGGAAAGTGCAAAATTGTAAAAGATGAGCATTCTGGAGACACTTTAAGAAACAGAGAAACTAACTTTGTCAAAATAAGTAAAAGAATTAGAAACTCCTGACAACCCTTGAGTTACTCTCTTTTTTTAAACAAAGGTTTAGTTAAGCAGAATAGTTTTACTGAATCAGCTAAAGGTTTTTATTAATTTCAACTCAATCGATTTCAATTTTGAGGACGAGCAGAAATAAGTAAAGCGAATTCTAAAGTTTTTTGTTTATTGTGGTTAGAGTTTTAGGTCTTTTTTAAAGCAACAGATTTTAATTTTTTTCGTTATTTTATACTGTCCAGTTTTTTTTTGATTCGAAAACTGATGGAAGTTTGGTTGCTCAATTTTTTTAGAACCTTCTTGTTTAAAACCACTTTTTCAATGTTGTTACAGTCGATCGTGGGTTTAAAACAAACCAAAGAAAAAAGTTGATCAGTAGAAGCCTTTTTATCTTCAACTATTATCAGAAACTGATATTTGATACCTTCTCATACCAATCGTTAGCTCATCATTTAGCTTTATAAAAAAGCCTTCGTCTGTTTTTTCACTTTTTTATCTCTTATGTATATAACTTCCACGAGTGGATATTCTCCATCCAAAAACAGCCAAAATCGTAGATTACGTAAGAGCATTTTAAAAATGTTTTACGTACCTTTAATTGGTAACGAATTGTACATTTTTTGTGTTAAGAACTACTGGAAAACTACTGGACTAAATTACTGATTCTGAATGTATGATTATTAACTTTATTGTTTAACTCTTCAGAACAACATAAGTAGCTATTTCTATTTACTGGATATGAGGGCACTCAGCAAAAACCTGTTTAAGAGCTACAGCAATAAATGGATTGGGAAAAAAACGAAGGTTTTTCAATTTGTCAATGATGACAGTTTTTGTATAGAAATGGTTAGAGGAAAGGTGGCTTGCTGGCGCTATTTTTTATTTAAACCATTACAAATGGAGGAAGAGAAAAGGATATTGAAAAAGGTTGTGCACTTAGAGGAATCAAGTGAGAAGAAGACGGGTCGAAAAGTTTGGAAGTTATGATGGTTGCAACAGTAGTGATGGGTTCACACTGATGGTGACGGCAATAATGGAGATGAAAATGATGACGAGAATGAGGATGAAGATGATGACGAATATGATTTTGAAGATAATGGTGATGATGCTAGTGATGATGAGAATGGTGATGATGATGTTGATGATGGGGATGAGATGGTGATGATGATGATGATGATGATGATGATGATGAAGATGATGGTGGTAGTGGTGGTGGCTCTATTAGACGGAAGAAGTGTGTGCACACATCATCTTCGCAGTGCAATTGGAGGCTACAAAGCAGCCAGCTTTATTTACAGCCAAAACTTTACAATTGAAACTCCACAGATTGACTATTCCGTCGATATTACTTCTGTTTCGTGATATGCTGGTTTATTTATTTATTTATTTATTTTTTTTTGCATTTTTCTGGGCATTAGTAATTTTTATTCTCTATACGGTTTTTTGATACCCCTTACTAACTTGAACAAACAGCTTTTACTTGGCATTTTAAAGCGTCGATGAGTCTTGCACAATTCTGATGCATTTTGCAAAGTCGTCATTAAAATGTTGCTAAAGTTATATTTTACGCTCTCAGATGGCATTTATGCAAGTCCAGTTTGGCGTCTTTACACTTACCGTGATACAAAAGCTGTTTGATAAACCAAAAAGTTGTAAGGATTTTGGGGACGACCACAAACAAAAATACGCACTCTTAAGCACAGCACCTATATATATATATATATATATATATATATATATATATATAATATATATATATATATATATATATATATATATATATATAAACATATATATATATATATATATATATATATATATATATAAATGTCGTTTGTTTTTACTGTTTTCTAGTAGGTTTGTTTCTTTTTTTACTCTTTGAGAGTAATTAATACGGCTTTTTCTTTCTTAGCATTTTAAAACTGTAGCTTTTTTTTTGTTTTTTGACGAACTTTTAACAATTATTTGTGTTCCGCATTCACTGGTATTTGTTTTTTTTTTTTCGTTCTCTGCTTTTGGTTTTGCCTGACGTAAATTGCTTTATTGAGGAGGGCAGGAGATGAGAAGGTTGATGAGACAAAGAGGGAGGAATAAAAAAGGAATGTCGTCTCTTTAAATTTCTTTCTTTATTACGTCAACAACAAATACAACAACAAATAGAGGAACTTCTATTTTTTTGTCTTGTTCAATTCATTTACTGAACGTCTTTAGTCTCGTTAGCGATATTCAAAGCAGCGTGAACTTTTGCACTTGTTGATGTTGATTAGAGCAGTTGATTCAACTTCCTACCTGTTGTTGTCCTTATTACTTGTTTTATTGGCTCTTCACAACTGTTTAATAGTTTTATGATAAAACCTGCGCTTTTGCATAGTTGGTTGATGAATGATTTTTGCTAAAAACAATTTTTT